ACTAGACAGAACATTAGTATTTAGTATATTCAAAGAACTAAAATAACGGAAAATCAAGAAGACACATAACTAAATTAAAAGATAGAATATGGAACTTAGCAGAGAGTTCTCAAAAAATGAAACACAGATGGTTAAGAAATACTTTTAAATGCTCACCACTTAGCCTAGAGGGAAGTATAAATCAAATTTCCTCGATGTTTCACCTTACCCTAGTGGGAACGACCAAGATTAATAATATAAATTATATCACAGACTGACAAGGATGTGGGGAATGAGAAACAGTTATTCACTCTGCTGGGAGTTCAAACTGGTATATCCACCATGGAAATCAGTGTGCATACTCCTCGGAAATGTGAAAATTAAGCTACCTCAAGGTCCAGCTATACCCCTCTTGGACAAAGGATTGTACATCTTTTAACAGAAATATTTACTCACCCATGTTTATTGCGTCTCTATGCATAATTGTCAGCAACTGGTGAGAACCTAGATGTTTATCAACTGATAAATGGATAATGAAAATATGATACATTTATTAAATTGAATATTATTCAGCTGTTAAGAGAAATAAAATTGTAAAATTTGCAGCTACATGGATGTAGCTAGATAATATATTGAGTGAAGTAACCCATACTCAGAGAGAAAACATTACATGATTTTATATGTAGATGTTATCTTTTAATCTTTAAATATGTGTGCTTTCGTTAGAATAACTACAGAGTTTAGGTTGCTTGTAAGAGGCCAGGCAGGGGGTGTGGTGGGGAGGAGGGGAACCTTGCAAAAAATGGAAATCAGAATAGGAGGATTAAATGGGGTTGGGTGGAAGGGCAGATAAAGGAGGGACTATATGAAGGGACACCTACCACTGAAAGCCTTTTCAGAAGCCATATGGAAATACAACCGCAGAAACTTCCTGAAATATATACATATATGAAAGGAATTTAAATGGCTTACGCTACCAAGTAAAACCCCCAGTGCTAGGATGGGTTACATGTTGAGTCACTGGCCAAAGTACCCTCATAGAACCACCTCCCTAAAAGTATAGGTGATTGCCAATGCTATCGGTTACCTTCTACACCCGATGATAAGGCCCTATTGCTGAAGACAAGGGGCTTGTAACCTCTGATTCTCCAGAACATGGGTTCCTCTTGGCATGTGATTTGTGCCCTTTCCAGGTGTGGAGAATAGGAGTGGGTTTTGCTTCGGGTTACCCATTATTTTACTTTTGTTATTCAAAAATGTTCTCAAGCACGGGCTGTCCTTGTGAGTGTATACAGCCTTAACTTATGTGAACTTTGCTCAAGACCTTGTTTAACCCTCAGAATACCCTCAGAATATAAATTATCTGACATGTTGAATAAAGTTAGTTATTTCATGAGAGTTTAGTGAGCCTCATTTTTAGGCCCTGCTCTCTCAGGTTCACACCATCAATGAGTGCAGTAACAGTCAATATTGTTTTTAATGATGGATACATTTATTTTAAAACCTTAAAGATTAGGCCTGCTATATAGCTCATTGGTAGAACACTTGTTTATTGTGCAGAAATATCAAGTTCCATTCTTAGCATAGCAAAATTAACAAACAAATGAGCAAAACCAAGAAAAGACCTTCAAAGTCTATTTCTTTTTTTTAAATTTATTTATTTATTTATTAAAGATTTCTGCCTCCTCCCCGCCACCGCCTCCCATTTCCCAAGTCCCCCTCCCTCATCAGCTCGAAGAACAATCAGGGAAATGGTATTGTTTTGGGGTAGAAGTCTATTTCTGAACTGCTTCTATGTATCTCCATATACAACAACCACTTCTACCCCCAAACAATACCATTTCATATTAAGTAGTACTTTATGTTTGTCTTGGTTAGGGTTTCTATTGCTGTGAAGAGACAACATGACCACAGAAACTCTTATAAAGGAAAACATTTAATTGGAGCTAGCTTACAGTTTCAGAGGTTGAGTCCATTATCATCATGGTGGGAAACATGGTGGCATAAAGTCAGACATGACGCTGGAGAAGGAGTTGAGAGTTGTACATCTGGATCTGCAGGCAAAAACAAGAGAATGCCACAACAGGCCTGGCTTGAGCATCCGAGACCTCAAAGCCCACCCTCAGTGACACATTCCCTCCAACAAAGCTATACCTACCATAACAAGGCCACACTTAATATTAGTGCTACTTCCTATGAGTCTATAGGGTCATTTTTATTCAAACCACCACAATGTTTCTCCAGGAACCGATCTGACTTTTCTTTTAAATATTTTTATCAAAAGCATTTTTTCATACATCATATTATGATCAGTTTCCACTCCCCCCAATTCTTCCCAGCTCCTTCCCCCTTCCTTTCCCACTTACATTCAGAGCCTTTCTCTCTCTCTCTCTCTCTCTCTCTCTCTCTCTCTCTCTCTCTCTCTCTCTCTCTCTCTCTCTCTCCCTCTCTCTCTCTCTCCCTCTCTCTCACCAGCAGAGTCACCCTGGAGTCTACTTGAATTCCATCACCAACACAAAACCTAGAATCCCAGCACAGTTAACACCTGCTCAAGGATCTTCTCATTCGACAGCTATAAACTTGCAGTTTCCCCAGGAATCTCATCAGGAATTCCATTTACAGGCAAACAACACATACTGAACTCTTGTGCAAAGCACAATGATTCTTAGTACTTTATCAGATTAGAGATCCATCCACGGCATCTGAGAAGTCACTTCACTTATCTCACTTAAGGAAAACTGAGGGGAAAAAAAGAGATTTCTCAGCAAGCTTTTGTGATGTTATCTGAGAGCCACCAAAATTATATTTATGGCTAATACTAAAACAAATAATTGTGACTCTTTTAAGGAGCTCATATGTATACTAGGGGATATCTCACTTTCTGGGACTTTCCTTTAGAGAATCCCATGTCATGGTCTCAGTGTACTCTGGGTCTCTTTTTTCCTTAATATCTGCTTTAGACAATGTTCTATTGCTGTGAAGAGACACCATAACCACAACAACTCTTATAAGAGACACCATAACAACATGGGAAGCATGGTAGTACACAGGCAGACATAGTGCTGGAGTTGAGAGTTGTACGTCTTGATGTGCAGGCAGGAGAAAGAGAGAGAGAGAGAGAGAGAGAGAGAGAGAGAGAGAGAGAGAGAGAGAGAGAGAGAGAGAGAGAGAGAGAGAGAGAGAGGGAGGGGGGGGGGCTTAAGCATTTAAAGCCCCCAAACCTAACCCCAGTGTCACACTTCCTCCCACAAGTCCATACCTCTTTGGTCATTCCCTAATGACCAAACGTTCAAACCTTGTGCCTGTGGAGGTCATTCCTATTGAAATCACCACAATATCTTTAATTAAATCTCCAATTCTGCTCCCTGAAATTCTGCTCTCTGCCGAAGCCATGACTACCAGTTTGATATGGGTCTGGGCTCCTCAAAGATTAGGGTACCTCAACAGGCAGCTAAGAGTGACAGTGTGTGGGTGAGTCTGTTAGCTCATCTGTGACACTCCTTTCTCCTCGTTTCCATGCCTATTCATCTTCTTCGGATAACTAACACTCTCTTGCCAGCTCTCATTTCCTTTAGTTCTACACTTTACTTTCACTGCTACCTCCAGTTTAATCACTCCAGTGTTTTGAAATTATTCTATTTTGGAGTTATGGGTGTGGCTTAGTCATGGACTGCATACTAAGAATGCATAAGGCTCTGGGTTAAATTTCCAGCACCAAAAGGGGATATAGATTCTAAATATAATTCTACACTATTTGGCATACAGTAAGCACATAATAAATGGGCACTGAATAAATGTTTTCCTATAGGATTAATTCCATACTCTGGTCTGACACTCCAAAGTATTTCAAAGTCTACCTGCTGGGGAAGGAGCTCCAGTTTTCTTCAGAGATGCTGCCCCAGTTGGTTGCCCATTCTCGGCGGATGGCCCTTTACCCATGCACATGCTGCCAGCACGAACTGATGGTTTTAAATAGAATACATGAATTTAGGAGGGAGATGGTTCCAGGATGGGTGTGAGGTCAGCAACTGGGGAAGTGGATTTACCCAAATACATTGTATAACACATATAAAATAGCCAAAGAAAAAATTAAAAATATATATTAAAAAAAAGGTGTCTACAATTTTTCTACCTACCTTTTCTAGGCATGTCTTCCACTTCTCTTTCTACTGGATTTCTCCAAGACCGCTATACTCAAGGCTCCCGGGACCACTTGCCCTTTGCATTTTCTATGTAGGCTATTGCTTCCTGGAAATCTCACTCTTCTCTAGAACACACTTCTTTTTAAAAACGTATTTCCACCTTATCGGTTCAGGTTTCACCTATGCATCTCTGCATTGTGACATCTCATTGTACACTGTTTAATACATTCTGTTTCGATCTCTTTTTCTCAAAGGCAAGAGCTTGATTTTCGATGCTTTAGTGCCCCCCTCAGCACACCTTTCATTGACTGGTAAACAGTAGCAGTTCAGTGGATGTGGAACCAGAAGGAAAGGCGTCCTCCCCACAAGCCCAGTTTCCTGTTTTTTGAAGAGTCCCCTTTCTCTTATTCTCCTTTCCCCCGCCCCCCTATTTTGAGCACCACTCTATTTACATCTCAATGTCAATACCTAAGCAGCTAGAACACTTGGCATTTTGAAATCTAAATCACTCACAGTTTCTCTCCAGTCCAAGCTATTTCGTAATAAAGGATTCCTTAACCTATTGGGGTGTGTAGGCATGAGGCCCGAGGCCCGTGATAAAAGGTATGTTTTCTCATCTTCCCAGTTGCTTTCGAGATTTCCCCTATTTTGCCGCATACTGGCAGGACAAACATCTTCATTCCCTTGCACGCCTCATAATCTTGACATAATTATCTGTGACATATTGATTTAAAGTGCCGCTACAGGAAAGGGAACAGGAATGCTTCGCTTGGCCTTCTGGGAGTTGTAGTTCTAATGGCACCCGGGCTGCCTAGTCAGCCCTGGAACTGCGGACTACAGCTCCCAGGCCTTCCTAAGCCCCTACCACACAGGCTCAAAGCCACAAACCAGTAGGAGGTGGCTGTATTGTATCTATTGTATCCCTTGGCTGGTGCATTTTTACAGTTCTCTGGACGTGAAATTGAGAGTGAAAAGCATGGCAGATGAACAAGAAATCATGTGCAAATTGGAAAGCATTAAAGAGATCAGGTAAGCCCTTTCTCTGCTTAATGCAGCATCCACCCTCCTCGATCCCGCCTCCCTTCCCGGGCATCCTTGGAAGCAAAGAGAACTGTTTTTCTGTGGAAACTATCTATTGTTGGGCTACTTGCAAAGAGGGGCGGGAAAGAGGCCCATTCATCACAGACTTACAGATGAGGTGAAGAATGAGGGGGAAAGGGTAATTTGAAGTCGAGCCTAGAGGAGGTAGTTGGTGGAAGTGTGTGTGTGTGTGTGTGTGTGTGTGTGTGTGTGTGTGTGTGTGTGTGTGTAGAGAAGGAGGGGAGATGGTGATGCCTTTCCAGATGTGGCTGAGCTAGAATAGAGGGACACCAGGAGCTTGTCACCAGACAGCTGTATTCTTTTTGGCATGAAGACGAGAGCTAGCATTCACAGACACATTTAAAAAAAATACTTGTTTAGTACAAGTCGCTTTTCACTTCTTGTTTTATAAAAGTTTTTTTATTTTCCGTTCAGCTTTATGATCCAGAGCTTGGGAAAAGCCTTTCGAGAGCCAAGTTTAGCTGACCTAGCCATTCCGTTTGCAACTTTGCTGTGGCTGTAGCTGGGGATGCAGATGAGCCTGGGGGTGGGGGGCGCTGCTCTTGTTTTCCTGGAACTCTTTCATCACTTTTTCCCCATCCTGACATTGGAAGGAGGTTGCAAACTATGGGTGTGTGAATAAGAGCGGGAGGTCTGCCAAACTGGGAACTGTCACACCTCCAGCGGGCTACTCTGCAAGCAAGTTTCGATATTTCAGTGAGATTTCTGCCCCCCAAACGGTAGTACCTGAAGGGCTGACAGTGTGGGCCACCCCTGCGCTGCCTAAGTACCTGCATGTGGAGAGTTTTTCAGATATATGGAGAGCGGAAAAAGAAAAAGACACATAGAGCATATCTTTATAAGAAATTGGGTCATGAGATTTAACCTTGACAAATTTGAGAAGAGATTTCACCTCTGTGGTTTGTGTGTGGGATCTCCACGTAGTAATGGGAGTGAAGAACCTTGGTTTCATCTTCCTATTGGAGGGATTATATCTTTCCTTTTGCAAAGCAAGGAAAACTATCATTTATTGAGCCCCTGCTATGCCAATGCCCCCCAACATTTCTGCAAGTGTCATCGCTGTGACCTTTGTCATAAGTGGAAAAATAAAGGCTTGGAGAATCTGAGTGAGTTCTCATGGTCACGAAGCTTAACAATGCCACAGTTGGACAGGAATGGAGGCTGCCTACAAAAGCTCTGTTCTTCTGACTGTTTCCGACTGAAGGGTTGCTTCTGTCTTTTCCTACAAAAGCGTCAGGAGGTAGGAAATGAGACTCCTAGGTGCAGGAGGATGCTAAGGGTGAAGCTAGTGAAAATCTTAAGCCTTTGAGTAGGAAGCCTCTAACTTCAGTCTTAATCTCTTTGTGGACTTTAAAAGAAATTTGTCTTAGCTGCGCAGTGGGGGTGCACACCTTTAATCCCAGTACTTGGGAGGCAAAGGGGAAAGCGGATCTCTGAGTTTGATGTTAACTTGGTGTACAGAGTGAGTTCCAGGATAGCCAGAGCTACACAGAGAAAACCTGTCTCGAAAAAAACCAATATGTGTATGTGTGTCTATTGTGTGTACATAGATACATATACATACATACAGACATATGTGAAAATGAGCTTATCTTATCTGCAGAAATGGACTATTTGGGATCAAGGTAATTAATCCCTAGTGAAAACAGGTCCCTTTCTGTGGACTCCAAGACAGGAGCCACGACTTCTATTCCCTAACCACGTTAGAGAATAGCAGGAGAGATGTAGAGAGAGGCTGAAGTTCCCCTCTAGTAACATGGGCATACCTCTTGATTGTCAAGAAAGACCCAGTGTAAAAACTGGATTTCTGTTGAGAGTATCAGGAGGCTTACTAAGACAAAAGATTAAAATCAGATCCAGAGTATTCAACTTTTGTTGAAAAAATTCTCACCACACCAATAAATCTACTTGAATGAGAAAATACACAGATGCCAATATTGATAAACCACAGATTTAGAATTATCTAACAATAGTTTTAAAATGTCCATCATGAAAATGCGTCATTAAGCAATACAGCACACTGAGAGCCTTTAAACCTACAACAGTCGCAATGCAGAGAAACTCCAGACTTTTAAACAGTGTTGAAAATGTTAAAGACTCCAAAGACTTTTGGAGTTGGAGTACATGCCAGTCCGCATTATGTTATTGTCGTGAATCTCTTAAGAGCCAGGAAGTACAAAGTGTTGGTTTGAATGAGAATGTCACCAGCAGGCCTAAGTATTTGAACACCTGGTTTCCAGTTCGTGGTGCTGCTCTTGCCACCTGCTGCCATCTCTCTCCTGCCATTATGGACTTAGCTTCTGAAACCATGAGCCCAAATAAATGCTCCCTTAAGTTAAAAGAAAATACAAAAGCAAAGCAAATAGACAATGTCCGACAGCAAGAACAACAAAAGCCATGAGGAAGATGCTCAGGGGGACCGTTAAAACAAGGTACAAATTCAACATTGGTTCAACAGTAAGACGGGGCAGGCAGAACAAAAAGAGTCAGCTTAAACCTAAAGCAAGAGAAACCACAATGAGATAATTACTAAACTTCAAAAATTCTTCCAGTAGAGACACAAGACAGAATGAAGAAATAGTTTGAGAAATAAGGCCTAATAGTGTCAAACCACCTCCAGGTTAAAAAAAAAAAACTAATCAAATACTAATAGATTCAACAAAAAGAAATCTACTCCAAGGCATATTACAATCAGCCTTCAGAAAAAGAAGGAAAAGAAAAGAGAATCTTGAAAGCAAGGCAGGTGATAAGAACTAACCCCCTAATTATCCCTCTGAGGGGGGAAATTAGAATGACAAATTTCTCAACAGAAAAATCAAGGTCCTAGTAGAAAGAGGTACAACATTTTCAAGTGATGACGGCAAAGACCTGCTAGTGTAGAATGCTGTGTGCGCGGGTGATTTTATGCTTGATAACTTGATGCTCTCGACTGCGGGAGCTGTCCTCAGATGGGCTGTGAAGGAGGATGAGAATACTTAACATAGTGGACAAAACACACAAACTTAGTAAGCAAAAACATGATAGAGTTGACTTTACTTTTTTTTTTTTATTTTCGAGACACGGTTTCTCCGTAGCTTTTGGTTCCTGTCCTGGAACTAGCTCTTGTAGACCAGGCTGGCCTCGAACTCACAGATATCCGCCTGCCTCTGCCTCCCGAGTGCTGGGATTAAAGGCATGCGCCACCACCGCTCGGCTTGACTTTACTTTTTATTTTCAGTTTTCTTAATTATGTTTGGTGATTGAAGGAAATTTATTTTATTTTATATATTTAATGTCTAAAAATTTACAGTGACATTTCACATATGTATGAAGTGTACTTTGATCATATTGAGCCCTATTGCACTCTCTTGTCCCCTATTCCCTGGTTCTCTTCTTCTTCCCTATAAGACCTCTTGAAGGAAATTTTCTAACATAATTATAATCTCAGTGTATGTACAGTAATATTTATGATATTTTATGAATAGGTTAATTTACAGAGAAAATAGATAATATATTTCACTAAAGCTGGTAGTGTGATGTTAGAAGGTACCGCTAAATTCTTTACATCTCATGTGTTTCTGAAAGCAAACACAAGAATTTTTATGCTGAGATGGCTTAAAAGTATTAAAAGTAAGCAAAACTGAAATTTTAAAACATGTAGTTCATCCAAGAGAGGCAAGCAAACAAACTCCCAGACAGAAAATAGACATGCTATATAAAGTTTAAAAGGCAGATACGTTTATATATGTATATATAAATGATTCTATTTTAGATAATGTGTGGCTGAAGAGATGTTTTAGTGGTTAAGAGTGCTCACTACTCCTGCAGAGGGCCTGGGTGACTCTGGGACTCACAGCTGTCTTTAACTACAGTTCCAGGGCTTTCTTCTGGCCTCCAAGGTCATATGCTTGCATGCAGCATGCTAAATCCACAGAAGACACACATACACATAATTAAAAATATTTTATTATTTTGTGTATATGGCTGTTTTGCCTACATCTGTGTCTGTGCACCACATGCAGTGCCCCTGGAGAACACTCGGATCGATTTATAGGATTTATAGATAGAGGAGCGAGTCTCGGATCCCCTGGGACTGGAGTTAAAGATGAGTAGTAGTTGCAGTGTGGGTGCTGAGGATGGAACCCTAGTCTTCTGGAAGAGCATCCAGTGTTTTAACCGTTGAACCGTTGTTTCAGCCCTCACATTTATATAAAAAAAAAAATCAATAATTCAAAGACAAGTAAAGAGATTGTACAATGGATTTCTGAAAAAACAATTCAGTTATATACTGTCTGTAACAAACTCACTTAAAAATAGCGATGCAGGTAGATTATGGGTAAAACAACCCGTTAAGCTGCCAACAATAAAAAGTGGACTGTCTCAGTGGGACGGGCACATACCATGCAAGCCTGGAAACCTGAGTTTAATCGCTCCCTGAATCCCACATAAAGCATGTCCTCTATTCACATGATGCATGCATGCAATGTCATTATCTAGTGTCCTTATAAATGCTGGGAATCCAGTTAATGTTCCACTATGCACAGTTCTTGAACTTCAAATTATGCTTACCATTCTTTTAATAGTTTTATTAAAAGAACAATCTATTTTGTTAAAACATGAATGTTCTTGGACTGTAGTAGCAACGATGGTGGCATTTTCACCTAATAACACCAAGCTAACATACACATATTGATAGAGGTCTAGAAGCATGCGTATTTATATTGATTATTACACACTCCAAAGGCATCATTTGCAATGGGAAAAGGTGTTAGGAATGGGTTCTCTCATCACAGTGTATTTCCTGATTGTGCCCCTCAGAAATTCGGTTGCAATTCAATGCTATGTTTCAACAGTCAGCTTCCAAATTACACCTTAGTCTATTTTCTGTGTCCGTTTTTTGGTGTTATAAGTAGCAGTCAAGGAGAAGAAGGAGAGACAAGAGTGAAACA